GATCCTCTGCTCTTCTAAGCAATGAAAAGAGTGCCCTCAGGTCAAGACATCATTCAGCTAAGCTTACACATTGGGAAAGGAGTTTTCTGCTCCTAGACAGTCACAACATACAAAAGCTGTTGGAAATGTGAATGAAAGGGGGCCAAATTCTCTCCCAAGCTGACAGTCTAACTTGGCTGTGTCATTCATGTGGTGCTGATTTTAGAGGCATGATAGATACAAGAGTGAGGTTGTTGATTGTTCCTCCAGTTTCAGAGAACCATTGAGGCTAGGCAGCATGTAGTAGGGGGTTCTCTGCATAAAGAAGGCCCTGACAGGCTTAGAGGCCCTGAAAAGTCATTGCATGAAGCTGTGAACATCACGAATAGTTAGCAATTGAAATCACAAGAATTTAGAAATGCCAGAGCCATGAGACATCACAAAGGTAAAGCAAAGTTGGAGGGGCTGAGTCATCAAGCCCTTTGGAATTAAACTTCCAGATATCAGACACTGAGCAACAAGATTTGGTATTTTCCCTGTTGGGTTCCAGTCTTTCTTTGGCCTTATATTCCCTTACTAGTCATCCATTCTTCCCTTTTGGAATGGGAATGTGTATTCCATGGCAGTATATTTTGGAAATATGTAATTTTTCATTTGATTTTATAGGCACTCACATTTAACAGACTTCCTTGAGTCTCAGAAGTCTTTGTACTTTTGAATAATGTTGAAACTATGAAATGACTATGGAAACTTGAAATTGGACTAAATGCATTTTACATTATGATATAATCATGAGTATACAGGGGCCAGGAAGTGGAACATCGTAGGTTTAATGAGAATTGGCTCCTATAGGCCCCAGTTATTTGAAAATTTGATCAGTTGATAGTGCTGTTTGGAGAAAGTCATAGAACTATCAGTAGGTGTGGCCTTGCTGTAGTAAGTTTGTCACTGGGGGCAGGCTTTGAAGGTTCATAGCCTTGTCCTACTTCCAGTTTCAGTCTCTCTCTCTCTCTCTCTCTCTCTCTCTCTCTCTCTCTCTGCTATATATTATATTACATCCAGTATTTTGAGATCAGAACATTAACTTTTTCTGGTACTTTTACAGTAATGATAAAAAAACAGAATTAAGGACATAAGACAAATTTCAGTTTAGCAGTGGCATACTGTCATTTTAATTGATCTCAGCCATACATGTTATCAGAGCCAAGCCACTTACCAACTTTGTGAAATATATGTTATCAAATTCTCTGACCTTCATATTCCATGTATATAAGAAGATTTTTGTGAATGTTGTCTTTTCTGGAAAGTATACTTTGTCGTGGCTTCTCATGCATCCATGATGCCCTGGAAAGATCTGAACATGATTCATGTTACCATATTCATGTCTCAGTTCATACAACAGAGCCTGGGTTCTCCATTCTTTTGGAGTAGCTTCCTCATTCACTTTGTATCATCATGTTGATTTCTATTAGGTAGCGAGTCTCTGATCTCATCTAAGTGAAGTCACATCCCACCCATTCAAGGAGATCCCATCTCTCTGTCCACCTTCCACTACACATAGAAGGGATAAATTCAACTGGACAATCCTATTCCTCTCCTTCCAGGGCTAAGAGGCAATACCTTAGATGATATCTTAAGGTTATTTTAAACATAACCTTAGGAGATTATCTTTATTCTCTGTTTCCCCTTAAGTTCAGGATTCAGCATCTCTGTTATGGTTAGGATTTATGCCAACCCCACTCCAGTTTATTAGCTAATCCCTAACAAAACCTGGGGCTCCTTTCTTGCTTTACATCAGAATTGTGTCTTTGAGCCCCTTAGATCTCGTTAATCTAAAAAAAAATATAGATGAAGAAAGGTTGCTCTGACTAGCCAGTTCTAGTTGGGACTTTGTGTCAGAAAGTGATGGGGCAAGTCTCTCTGTGATACATTTCATATTCTGATATTTTGGTATCCCAAATCCTTGTGTTCATATCCAAAGCTTTCTTTTTTTTAAAAAAAAGTTTATTTTTACTTTTTAAGTTTTTAAAAAATATTTTATTCATTTATTTTTATTTTATGAGTGTTATGCCTGCATGTATATGTAAGTGCACCCATGTCATGCAGCACCTGCAGAAGACAGAAGAGGGCATCAGATCCCCTGGAACTGGAATTACAGACAATTGTTATCTGCCATGTGGGTGGTGAGATTCAAACCAAGGTCTTCTACAAGAGCAGCCAGTGTTCTTAACCACTGAGCCCTCTCTCCAGTCCCTTATTTTAGTTTATTAGGTCTGAGTATTTTGACTACCTGTGTGTGAACCCGTGTCGTGCAATGTCCATGGAGGCCAGAAGAGGGCATCTGATTACCTGTATCTGGAGGTTACAGTTGGTTGCTAGATGCCATGAAGGTGCTGGTAACCAAACTTAAGTCCTCTGCAGGAGCAGCCAGTCCTCTTAACCACTGAGCCTTTTTTTCAGCCCCCAAGGCCTTTTTTTTTTCTACTTTATGTTCTGAGAACAAACCTGGTAATTCTAGAGCAATTTCATTCCTGCATACCCTGTTGAAAATGGGTCCCTGTCCCAGGAGTGATGTAAGATGGGTAACTAGTAGCACAGGACAGAAGACTCAGGATCCTTATGAAAAAGGAAACACATAAATTGATCATTGTCTTTATTTGCAAAATTACATCCTCATGTAATTTCTGCCATGAAAGACTTTCTAAAGATGTCCACAGTGATTGGTGTTGATCGAAACAAGACCACATGTCAGCTAAGTAATTGCTCTGCAATAACATTATCTCCATCCTTACCTGATGTAACTTATGAGCTGAAGTTATATAAGATTGCAAAAATAAAATTCAGTCACTATTCATTTTTTCCATTCATTAATTTTGATCTATTTATTTATGTATTTTAATGATATCTTTGTTAATCTTTGAGAATTTCATATAATGTATTTTGATCATCCTCAGCTCCCATCTCTACTCGGATCCACCCTCACTTCCCTACTCTTCCATTTCGTGTCTTCAAGGAAAAATTTTTTAAAGTATTCTTCCAATTTGTGTTCCCCAAATGCTTTTGAGTGTGGGTCGCCACCTGGACTGTGGTCAACTTACCAGTATTTCACCCCTTAAGAAAACTTTCTCTCTCCCACCAGCTATCAATTGCCAATAGTTCCTCAGCTAGGGCCGAGGCTTCTTGTCAAACCTCCTCTCTCTGTGCTGGGATTGTCTGGGTTGTGCTTGTTCAGGTATTGTGCATGGTGTTCCACATGTAGTGGGTTCATATGTGCAGCTACCCTTTTGAGGCTGAGAAACACTGTTACCTTGTATTCATCCCCCACCTCTGGCTCTTACAGTCTTTCTGTCTCCTCTTCCACAGTGTTCTCTGAATATTTGGGGGAAGAAGTGTGATATAGATGTCCCATTTAGAGTTAAGTACTCCAAAGTCATTTATTCTTTGCATATTCATCAATTGTGGGTCTCTGTGTTAATCATCATCTGCTTCAAAAAGAAGCTTCTCCTGTGAGAGTTGAGAGATGCACTAATTTATGAGTATAACCACAAAGCACTAGGAGTTGGTTTAATACCAAGCCCATTTAGAATTTACATTTATTTATTTATTTATTTAATTTATGTATGTGTGTCAGGAGGTAGTACGATAGCATGCTTGTGAAATCAGTGGACAATTTATATAGTTAGTTCTCTCCGCCATGTGGATCCTGGGGATCAAACTCAGATTGTAAGGTTTGGTGACAGGCTCATTTACATGCTGAGCCATCTTTCTGACCTTCCATCCTATTTTAAGACCCTTCTTTCTCTAGCTATCTACTGTAATATCATAATTTTTGCACAATTTCCTTCTTTACATCAATTAAGGTGCATTTGGCATACTGAGAATGAGAACAGAACTGAAATAAGACCCTCTGTTAGTCTCAGTTTAGGAGGAGTGAAGTTCTATGGGCCCTAAATCAAGGGTTTAGTCTCAACTCTTGTTTACTACCCTGTGAACCTGGGTGCATTCGCATGCTCTATAAGCCTCATACTCTCTAATAAGAAGTAAGTATGATAAGCTCCTTCTTGTAGGACCCTGAAGATTTGTGTTAAATGAATGACCTTTGGGTCCGACTTGTCCTGTATTCACTTATTAAGAAATTACTAGGAGCATTTTGAAGTGTTTCATTGTTATTCATCCACCTGAGATTATTTTTCTTCAAGTTTAATCTGAGAAATGCCACAGAATGTATAGTACTGTAGGTCCCAAACAGATAGATGATTGATAGATAAGTAGGTAGATAGATAGTTCTACCACAAAGGTGCTTAATAATGAAAAATGTCCTGTTCAAGTACACATTACCATGTTCCTTCTTTAGGAAATAGACCATATTTGACTCTCATCCATAATGAGAGCTCCTCCTAGAATCCATCATTGCATGGACAGGTGCTGGGTCTCATTTCGTTAAACAGCTTCAATAAAATGTGTGAAGAAACCCCAAGAACAGATGTTCAATTAATGTTTGGGTAAAGCACAAGCCTTGAGCAAGAAACCTGATTCACTGTGATTTAATTTCTCACACATTCTTTAATGGCATAAGCAAAAGCATGTATGCAACTCTTACATGTTTGAAAGGAAAAAAAGACATGAAGTAAAGCAAAACATGAATTGAAATTCTATCACTTTTTCTTTATCTTCTTTTCTTCCCTACTCTTAAGTACTTTTGTATTCTAATTCCATACTACCTTACTATGCATCACCAAAGTTAACTATGAAACTTCAAATTGTATTTCAAATCAATCTAAACTTTGAACATTCAACTTGATAAACAGCAATGAAGGCATAATCTATGACACTTTCTGTTTACCTTCTGACCTTAAGTAAAAATTATGATTAAAAAAACAATTTTACGAAAGATTAATTTGAGCATAACAAGAAAAAATTTGTTTTCAAGCAAACAGTGGAGACTATCTTAGATCTCACTAGCAAGTAGGGTGAGGGGATTTGGTCTTAGAACCTCCATTGGCATGGCATGTACTTCCTTCCTAGTCTGCATCTTCAGCTTGGGCACTCTTGTTCTCTTCACTCAAAACTTCTTCATAATGGACTGGATAAGCAGGGGTTCCTGTTTCATTGATGTTGGCCAAGAACTCCATCACCTTTTTCTTGTTGGCATGTGCTTGAGGACCCCATAGGAACTCAAAATGTGGAGGATCACTGTTGGGGACCTGACGGTACTCCAGGTATTTTTCCTGCACTAGATCTTGAGTGATGAGCTTCCTAGTATCCCCAAAGATGATGTGAGAGACTCCATCATAGATTCCTAATGTATTCAGGAAATGCCAGATCTGCTCCTCTGAGGCACAGTAGCCATGTAAGTAGATAACACTCAGGAGAGGGATCAGAATGCCTCTGTTGGGAAGACCCATCTCAGTGCTACTACTTCCATCATCATGGAAATCTAGCTTGCTGACAAGCACGTAGGACTGACCATCGGGCTGGGCTTCTTTCAACTCAAGGCCGAAAACCAGATCCACGCGGTTAGAAGCTTTCTTGAGGATTTCAGTGAATTGCTCCTTGAGACATTCATTGACAACTTTCTGCATTTCTTCTCTCAGTAGGGGCTCCTTCATTTTGTACTTGGAGAGCATGTACTCTAACAGCATTCCTGTCTTCCTTGTGAGATCTTTCTGGGGGCTTCTAGTAGAGTGTTGGGCCCTGGAAGAACTCACACTTTTCTTCTTTTGGAACCTATCACTTCTAGTAGATCTTCTGCAGGCAATACAGATGTTGAAAGTGGTGGTGCTTTGCAGTGCCTGAAGCTTCTGGAGAAAGCTTTCAGCAGCACTGGTTGGAATAGCATCTACAGAAGCATGGGCAGAGGAGAAAGACACCTCTCTTTGATCCGTTGTCATGGTCTGAGCACCTGTGTGCTCCTGGGATTTAGTTTTGATCTGTTGGCGTTTCTCACGAGCCCGGGCCTTACTCTTCTGTCCCCTGGGCATGATGGATATGGCCAGTGATGGCAGACAAGTGAGTTGGATACCTGGACAGAGAAAAATAGAATAATGTGAGCACCTTAAATATGTTTTAAATATATTGTCTTTCACATATATTCCTCTACCTTTTCAAGAGCCCAAAGGGTTCCTGTTGTCCTGATCAGCCGGCAGGTACTGCTGAGGCTCAGCCACGGCTCCTTTTCTTCTAGTGTTTGAGCACCTTTAGTGTATCCCTGCAGCCTCTAAGCCGCTCCCCTCTGCTAATCTGATTTGACAACTCAAAGGTTCCTAGTAGCACTGAGGGGGAGAACTTCAGGGAGCTTCAGTACACTGCCCTAACTGGGTACAGAGAGTACTGAGAATTCAGTGATGTAGTTTCTATCTTGGGCTCTTGGAGTCTTCAACCCTCCTTCAGGTTCCTCACCTGAGTGCCTATAAATCTTGGCACCACATTCTGCTAAACCTTCAGACTAAGGATATTTTTTTTTTCTAAACTAAAATATTGTGGAGAATGTTGACACTGATAGCCCATCTTTTGGCTTTCTGAAGGTGAGTATGTCCTGAGATGTGGCAAATCATGCCAACACATCCAGGTCTGGGGCTCTAAGTGGGCCTTTTCTTTCTGGAAGTGGTCCCCTTAACATTGCTTAACATTATCACATACTTCAGTCCTGTTAGGTATTGGGTACTAATGCTCAAGTGTGTCTGCTCTACTAGGCCAAGGTCAGCCCCTCTGTGAAACTACCCCTGGATGAAATGAGAGGATACCTCACATTGTCAGTTCCTTCGTGAGACTTCATAAAATTCCTGTGGTGCTACAGACAATGGATGCTGAGGGAGTGAGAATCAGTTTTCTCTAGGGATGTGTTCCCTGAGAGGTTATTTAGTCCCAACTAGCAGCACTAAACACGGGTACATGTAAAGAGCACTACTAAAATGTACTCAGTGTAATATATATAT